TCCACGGAGACTCAGAAGTTCGATGCGCTGACTTAATCACGCGCGGGCGACGGCGCATCTGTGGTGAGCGTGACGAACAGCGTGTGCGGCACGAGAGCCACGGGCTGTCCACCCCGGCAGCGGCGCGAGGCACGAGGGCCGCGGGCTGTCCACCCTGGCGGGGCGTGCGGCTCGAGGGCCACGGGCTGTCCACCCCGGCAGCGGCGTGCGGCACGAGGGTCGCGCCTGTCCATCCCGGCAGGGGCGTGAGGCGCGAGGGCCGCGGGCTGTCCACCCCGGCAGCAGCGTGGGCACGAGGGCCGCGCCTGTCCACCCCGGCAGCGGCGTGCGGCACGAGGGCCGCGCCTGTCCACCCCGGCAGCGGCGTGCGGCACGAGGGCCGCGGCTGTCCACCCCGGCAATCGTGTCAGACGGCTCGGTCGAGTCTTGCGTGAGGCATGTGGCCGAGGTCGCATGCGCCAAGCCCTTCGCCTTGTATTTTTTGAGTGCCTAGGCAATGGCTAAACCGTTTTAAAAGGCCCCGTTTCCCCCACTTGGCACCGAAGTAACTACGTTTTGTTCTTTGTGTGGATTGGTGGTGATTCCACGCGCTACTGTGGACGAGTCGCCTCCGTACGAGTATAACGGGTTCTTGTGCCTCAAGCAGCCAACGTAACGTGATTTAGAATTAGCTTCAGCAAGTAATGACGCCATTGCAATATTACATTCTGTCGACATGAACCGCTGTCGGCTGCCGTTCGCCAGCTCTGGCCGTGCTGTTTCTGCCGGGCCCGGCACAACGCAGCTGCTCCGGTCGGGCCCGGTCGCCGACGGAAATCGTGTGCTCGGCGGCGACGGCGTCGCGACCGAGCCGCGGGCTGCCCTGGGTCGCGCGACAGAACCGCCGCCGCCGCCGCCGCCGTCTGGCCTCGCCGCAGCCTTGGTAATGAATTGGCGTGTCCTTGGGCCAGGTGGGCACGGCCGGCCGGGCTGGAACCGGCGGACGGCGGCGCGGCGGCGCGGCGGAGGCGGGCCGCCGCCCCTGCCGGAAGGGCTGGCGCCTCCCCCCCCCGCACTGGAGCGGTCTGACGAGTGCCGCGAGACGGGCGGCCTCGTGACCGGCCGGGCTGCTTCCCGGACGGAGCTCCCAGGAGACATCGTGGCTGCGGGGCCGTCGGGCGCCCACCGCGCTGCTGCTCGCGCGTGAGGTTGGCAGACAGCAGTTTTGTGTTTGCGGTGGGAAGCTGCTGCTGCTGCTGCAAACATTTGGTGTCAAGCGATCAGACAGGTGTAAACCATGGGTCGATGCGTTCCTGCATACCCACGGGAGAATTACGCCGGCGCGGTTCGCCCTATGTTAGCATGATTATCATTTTGCTACGGTTTCGGGTTTGACAAGTAGGAAAGGGAGACCAGGGGGGCGTTTGAGGACGATATCACGCGTTGTTTTCCAGAGACCGCTGTGGTCTGTCGCTGTGCTGACAGACCGCAGCAGGAGTATCGTCAGCGGGCGCGGCTGGAGCCACCCGTCCCCCGACAATTCTTAAACTGCATGACGCCTAGGGTGGGGCATGGGGAAGGTTGGCTCTCGCATACCCCGTGTGCTCTCCAATGCACAGTATCCCCCTCCCCCCGGCCGGCCGGTGGTGCCGCCGTTACCGCGTGCGAAGCTGCCCATCTTGCACACCTGTGGTTAGCTTCCGTGTGTTAGAATACGGCACGGAAACTCTGAGCCCCGCTCTTCCGAAGATCATCCAATGGCTCACGCGAAAAGAACAATGCGGGACGTTTAAAGGGAGTGTTCCACATTTGTGTGTGGTTTTCAACCCAATAACCATCGTGAAGACCGTCCGATGCAGCTCACAGTTTTGCCCTTTTTAAGACCTAAACCCAACTAGTTTGTAAGCTAGACGCCCACAGATGCGCAGACCATTTCGTGCCGACTGCGACTATTGCAAGGTCACCCAGGCATCCATGACGCCTTAATAACGCTATTCAAATCCCGCCATTCCATTGACCATGCGGCGGTCAAGGCCAAGAAAATATCACTTGTCGAGTCGTTCACATCTGACGTTCGTGAGCACGATTTCTGGGCCGTCAACTGGCTCTCAAACAATGTTTTGCACGATATGATGACGCAGTCAAACGCTGACATATTTAGGCGTATATTTACTAAACAGGGACATGTGTCGTCTGAAGAGTCCTTTCCACTTTAAAGTATACCAATAGTTATAAGCGAGCTTATTTCATCACAACTGTGTCATCATATCTTCGATGTCTTCAAATGTGGAACATCCCTTTTGTTATATAGTTATATATAGTTTGTTAATAGTTATAAGCGAGCTTATTTCATCACAACTGTGTCATCATATCTTCGATGTCTTCAAATGTGGAACATCCCCTTTTGTTATATAGTTATATATAGTTTGTTAATAGTTGTAAGCGAGCTTATTTCATCACAACTGTGTCATCATATCTTCGATGTCTTCAAATGTGGAACATCCCCTTTTTTAAGCGCGCACCGTTAACACCGAAATCGCGAGATAGTACACCATGCGAATGGGGGCGAATGATGAGTAGCAAATAAAGCATGTAGCGACTTATGTAGATCTCAAGTGGCTACACGCTTTCCGTAGCCAAAATTCCGTGGTTGTCCGTCGCCAAAACGCAGATTGAGTTTGTAGCGTGTTTTTTTAGCAGTCGGTCGACAGTGTACATCCTACCTGCATTACACCAAATGATCTGGAACCAACTGATGCGAAGAGAGCACACTGACCACCAACGCAACAAAGACCATGGGCTTCCGTAAGATGAGGCGAGGGGAAATGCCGCCATACCGCCTCAGAATAAGACGTGCATAGGCTTCTCCCCAGATATTTGCTATGTGGGGAAGACCGACCGTGATGTCTTCGTTGAGCGGAGCCGTGCCGCCGTTCGCCACGTCTTGGTGGAATGTGTCCACACTGCCTCGAAGCGCATGCGCCACTTTGGACCAGGTGCCGTGTACCGGACACTGATCGTGCCTGCATGTAACGAAGCGCCTCTCGAAAACCAATAGCCACTTAATGTACGTTTCTGAGCGCCACCGCCAAAGCTCCATTCACCGCCGAGTGTCAGTTGCAAAGCCATGTGAAAGTGTTGAGGTGTGCAAATGATCGGCTTGATACATTCGTGTCGGACCACCATTCCGGTTTTCCTCGCTGTGGGTAGAGAAGCACCGCATCGCGGCAAGGCAGTAGATACGCGCGACGTGGCTGGGTCCGAACGTGGGTCTCTCCAGCTGCCAACTGTTGTGCAGGGTCTGGCCTGATCCAGGTCCGAGGCGTGGGTCTCTCCAGTGCCGACTGTTGTGCCGGGCCTGGCCTGATCCAGGTCCGAGCGGGGGGTCTCTCCAAACTGCCGACTGTGTGTGCCGGGTCTGGCCTGATCCAGGTCCGAGCGGGGGGTCTCTCTAGCTGCCGACTGTTGTCCGGGTTCTGGCCCGATCCAGGTCCGAGCGTGGGTCTCTCCAGCTGCCGACTGTTGTGCCGGGCCTGGTCTGATCCAGGTCCGAGCGTGGGTCTCTCCATCTGCCGACTGTTGTGCGGGGCCTGGCCTGATCCAGGTCCGAGCGGGGGTCTCTCCAGCTGCCCGACTGTTGTGCCGGGTCTGGCCTGATCCAGGTCCGAGCGGGGTGGTCTCTCCAGTTTCCCGACTGTTGGTGCCGGGCCTGGCCTGGTTCAGGTCCGAGCGTGGGTCTCTCCAGCTGCCGACTGTTGTGCCGGGTCTGGCCTGACCCAGGTCCAGAGCGGGGGGTCTCCTCCACCTGCCGACTGTTGGTGCCGGGTCTGGCCTGATCCAGGTCCGAGCGGGGGGTCTCTCCAGCTGCCGACTGTTGTGCGCGGCCTGGCCTGATCCAGGTCCGAGACAATGGGTCTCTCCAGCTGCCCGACTGTTTGTGCCGGGTCTGGCGTGATCCAGGTCCGAGCGTGGGTCTCTCCAGCTGCCGACTGTTGTGCCGGGCCTGGCCTGATCAGGTCCGAGCGTGGGTCTCTCCAGCTGCCCACTGTTGTCCCGAGCCCGGCCGGCCAGCCGTCGGCGTTCCCGGACAGGCCTTCCCCGTTTGCGGGCTGGCGGCAGCCGGCCGCTCTGCATCCTGCCGTGGCCGGCGGCTGACAATCCGCCCGGCTCTCCGGCAGGACGAGTTCCACCCCGTTCATCGAGGCCCTGTTGCCGCACGTCAAGGCCTTCTCCTACACCTGGTTCAATCTGCAGGCGGCCAAGCGGAAATACTTCAAGAAGCACGAGAAGCGCATGAGCCTGGAGGAGGAGCGCCGGTGTAAGGAGGAGCTCCAGGTGCGTGCGCCGCCCGAGGCCGAAGCACGCGGCAGGGCAGGGGAGGAGTGGGAGCACCGGTCTGGGAAGAGGACGGGACGGGGCGGGAAGCAGGGGGCTTCCTTTCTTGTAGGTGCACTGCGCCGAGGAGCAATGAAGACCCAAGTGGAAGACGCAATGTCGCGCAAACGATGCAGAGGCATAGCTTTCGCAACATCTTGTTGGAATACACATACTTAACTAAACTGACTGTTCATTGGCCTAAGGCTATCTGTGCATGTATTTTTACTTACCCTAGTGGTATTTTTATAACTGTCCAGACCATTATCGTTCATCGTTCGTTACAGTTGTTAGATGTCCTTTCAGGTATATGACCTTGATTTGTGGTCAACTTGGTGCTTCTGGTTTCAAGACTGCCTGTAACGAAGCGTGCTGGATCTTTTCCCCGACTCCCCGCTGCGTCTGTCCTCCAGATTTGTTTTCTACGGAGCCGTGACGTTAGGCTTGCCGGAATGCTGCGAATGCGTTCCGTTTGAACACATTCGTCCGGCCCGGACCTCGTTTCGTGACGCGCAAGCTGTGATCCACTCAGCACTATTCGCAGCACTGACCCGTATCGTCTCTCGCAGAGCGAGAAAGCAGAGGTGAAGCAGAAGTGGGCGTCAAGGCTCCTCGGCAAGCTCCGCAAAGACATCACACAGGAGTGTCGCGAAGACTTCGTCCTCTCTGTAACAGGTGACTATCAGGTCCATTTATAGCGGCACGCGCCCACCGTGCTATTTGCCACGCACGTCAATGGCGTGATGCTGTGATGAGATTTGCGGAGGTCGGCAACTTATGGCGTTGTAAGATACTCCATTTTAATGCGATAGTCTTAGTCAACCCGTCCGCCGAATAAAACATGTCTCGTGGCATACCTCGTCGTAGCAGTAACAATGGCCCGCGGCATACCTCTGTCGCAGCAGTAACAATGGCCCGCGGCATACCTCTGTCGCAGCAGTAACATGTCGGCATACCTCTGCAGCAGTAACAGTCTCGCGGCACTCTGCAGCAGTAACAGTGTCTCGCGGCATACCTCTGTCGCAACAGTAACAGTGTCTCGTGGCATACCTCTGTCGCAGCAGTAACAGTGTCCGCGGCATACCTCTGTCGCAGCAGTAACAGTTTACTCAGCTAGCCATCAGATACCGTCGGTCATCCCCCATGCGGTTGCGCTCTTATCGTCTCTCTGGGTGGCTGTACTCTCGGGCTTCACTGCCGTGTCACCCCCGGCTCGTCTCCCACCCGGTGGGACTACTCTCGCGGCCTCACTGCCGTGTCACCCCCGGCTCGTCTCCCACCCGGTGGGACTACTCTCTCGGGGCCTCACTGCCGTGTCACTTCCCGGCTCGTCTCCCGCCCGTGGGACTACTCTCTCGGGGCCTCACTGCCGTGTCACTCCCGGCTCGTCTCCCACCCGGTGGGACTACTCTCTCGGGCTTCACTGCCGCGTCACCCCCGGCTTGTTCTCCGCCCGGTGGGACTACTCTCTCGGGCTCACTGCGTGTCACTCCCGGCTCGTCTCCCGCCGGTGGACTACTCTCTCGGAGCCTCACTGCCGTGTCACTCCCGCTCGTCTCCGCGCCCGGTGGGACTACTCTCTCGGGGCCTCACTGTCGTGTCACCCCGGCTCGTCTCCCGCCCGGTGGGACTACTCTCTCGGGGCCTCACTGCCGTGTCACTCCCGGCTCGTCTCCGCCCGGTGTGACTACTCTCCGGGGGCCTCACTGCCCGTCACCCCGGCTCGTCTCCCGCCCGGTGGGACTACTCTCTCGGGGCCTCACTGCCGTGTCACTCCCGGCTCGTCTCCCGCCCGGTGGGACTACTCTCTCAGGACCTCACTGCGTGTCACCCCCGCTCGTCTCCCACCCGGGGGACTACTCTCTCGGAGCCTCACTGCCGTTCACCCCCGGCTCGTCTCCCACCCGGTGGGACTACTCTTTCGGAGCCTCACTGCAGTGTCACCCCCGGCTCGTCTCCCACCCGGTGGACTACTCTCTCGGAGCCTCACTGCCGTGTCAACCCCCGGCTCGTCTCCCACCCGGTGGACTACTCTCTCGGAGCCCACTGCCGTGTCACCCGGCTCGTCTCCCACCCGGTGGGACTACTCTCTCGGAGCCTCACTGCCGTGTCCACCCCCGGCTCGTCTCCCACCCGGTGGGACTACTCTCTCGGAGCCTCACTGCCGTGTCACTCCCGGCTCGTCTCCCACCCGATTGGGACTACTCTTCTCGGAGCCTCACGGCCGTGTCACTCCCGGCTCGTCTCCCACCCGGTGTGACCACTCTCTCGGAGCCTCACTGGCCGTGTCAACCCCCGGCTCGTCTCCCACCCGTGTGACTACTCTCCTCGGAGCCTCACTGCCTTGGGTCACTCTGGGCCCGCCTCCCGTCCCGGGGTGGCTGTACTCTCTCGCGGCGTCACTGCTGTCACTCCCAGCTCCACTGACACCGCTTGCCCGTCCTCAGGCAAGAAGCCGGCCTGTGCGTACTCTCCAACCCCGACCAGAAGGGCAAGATTCTCCGGATAGACTGCCTCGGCAAGCGACAAGGTCAGTGCGGCCGACCGTGCGGCCGACGGTTTCTGTTTCCCGGTGGCTGTGCGGCTGCCGTGCGCACCAGACGGTGCGCCACTAGACTCGGCACCGGATGTCGTGAGACGATGGTTTCTCCGCTCACCGTCCGCGGCCGCTGCAATGACAGCACGGAGCCGAGGGCGGGACTGGGGCAGCGTGCCCACAGCTGGCAGGGCGCCGTAATGGCCGGCACGGTTGTGAGTACCGCGTGTGTCTGCCGGTCGGGGCTTCGCGTGGCGTCGTTACACCTTCCCGTGCGCTGGGCTTGTGGTCTCGAGATTCCTCAATCGTGCATGTTCGTGTGTGTGTGGGGGGTGATGCCGGGGGACCTGCGGTCAGTGTGTGGACGTTCTCGGCTAATCCTGTGAACAGTTGTGCATTCTCGCGACGCTGCCGCTAGACGCTGTGTCTCATCTCTGAGGGAGGGCTCACTCGCAGCCCGTCTCTCCTCTCCCTCTCGTGGCCGGCGGTGTCCCGTGTCTGCGTCGCCCGCCGCCGCCTAACCCCGGCCTTCCGTGCGGCAGGTGTGGCGGCTGGACCTGGTCATGGTGATCCTCTTCAAGGCCATCCCGCTGGAGTCGACTGACGGCGAGCGGCTCGAGAAATCGCCCGACTGCATGCACCCGCAGCTCTGCGTCAACCCCTACCACATCAACATCTCGGTCCGCGAGCTCGACCTCTACCTGGCCAACTACGTCCACCGGCCAGGTAAGCGGCCGGGGCCGCACGACTGGCGGGGCGGGCCGGGCCCGGCGCGGGGACGGCCGCCGGCGCACAAGCGGGCGCTGATGGCACCGCTGCCTGTCCGGCCGGCTGCGCAACTGGCGTTGGAGCCGGGTACCACGCCCCAGCGTCTGGTTGGCACACGATGGCGAGGCGGCCGTTAGCGGGTGTGTTCACAGCGGGCTCTTGGCTGGGTGTGAGGTGTCTCCGGGTGCGGTCGGCCCCAGCTGAGCGTGGCTGCGTGCGGACGGTGCGTTTTGGCACGCCTCCGCCTGTCGCCCGTCGCGAGGCCCCGCATCACCCTCGCCCACATCGCCGGCGCTCTCTGACGCCCCCATGCGTCTGGCCTGTCCCGCGGCCTCCCTCGGACCGCTCGCCGGTCGCCGGCCCGACCGGCTGCCGCCGGCGGCCATGGCGGCTGGTCGCTGCGGCGTGCCTCAGGGGCCGGCGCGGCGGCCTCCCTGCCCGCCTGCAGTTACTGCCGAACGGTGCAGGGCCGGGCGCGCGCTGCTCCACTCGCCGCACTGGCCCGGCAACTGGGCCGCCAGATGTGGCGGGGTCGCAGCCCGAGGACGCGCTCCGGGCGGAGGCGTCCGGAGCGGTGCCCCGGCCGCGCCGCCGTGCTGTAAGCGGTCACAGCCGGGCTGCCGGGGCTTTTGTTTCATGGTGTCAGCGCACGGTTAGTTCGGCGCCGTCGGTGGCAACTCGGGAATGATGCGCACACCGGTATTGTCGCCTTTGACCCTTTGCCGCATCAAAATGATAAGAGTTGTGGCGCTGTTCGGCAGAGCCTCTGCGGTGCATATCTGAAAGCACGGACGTCCGATCCTGTGCGGGTATCGCGAGCGCACTGCTGGTGCTGCAGGCGCTCTTTAGCCCGGGGGATGTTTAGCAGTGATGCTGTTAGGATGGCCACCGGCCGCACTTGAGCTAGAAACGTCCAGTCGTGAGCGGAATCATAAGCAGTAGTCGGAATTAGACCCAGCAGTGGGCGTAATGGTGTGGCGCCGCAACATTCTGCAAATGGTTTATTTGTGCTTTTATAACCAAGTCAGGCGAATCAGTTATTTCAGGTTTCATATATTTTTTCATGGATTGAGAAGCTGCGTCCCACCTACACGTGTGCGGCACTGCATTTGAAACTGACCAGTCAAAAGCACATAGGCTGGTGGTGTGCTCTTGCACCAATATTGCGCCAGCCTGGGCTGGTCCGATATATGCGTGGTGAGGGGAGACATTGCATCATTAGGCGCGTCTCATTAGGGCTTGGTCGATTGAGGCCGTGGAACTAGGTTTTTTGGAGTTCCTGTTTAAGGGGTTGGATTGTCAATGGAAATGGCGGATCTCGTTGACTTTGCTCATCGCTTGTTTAGAGCTGTTCTGTTTAACAAAGAAGCCTGTATTTGTTACTTTTGGAAGATATTGTCAGCATGGCTTTCGTAAGAGTTTGTGCCAGGCTGTAATGCCTCATACGGGTAAAACACACTGCTTAATAATCCAAGTTGTTTGTAGGCAGCAATACGCTGTTCGGTTCATTATATTTTGTAGTGGAATTGTACAAACTGCGGCTTGGTGTATGAGATAGATTTCCGTCTCACCAAAAGCACTGAGCCTAGCCGTAACGCGCTGCGGCCAATGGAACGGGTCCTTTCAAACGCGTGGTCTCTGATTGGTTCACGGCTCGCGCACGATAGAAACTGCCACACGTGGCGTGAGTTAGCGCTGTTTACAACTCCAGGAAATTGTATCGGCAGTTCATGCTTCGGCCGACGCGAGCATGCGGTCCGTCGTGCGGGATGGATTCCAGTCCTGCTCGCTCAGTGCAGGGATGTTAACATGGCCTCCAAAGGTGGCGCTCCTCCTTTGAAGGGCTGTTTACTGAAATGACTTCTCAGGGGTCTGAGCATCCTAGAATCGGTGTTGGTGGAGGGATCAAGAGTGTTCACGTGTTAGTGTTCAGTTCTGTTCAGGAGGAACATGCATGGACTAGCGTCGGCCTTTTACCTGTGACCATAAATTTGGCTTTCACAAACACGCGATGCCTATGGTTGAGTGGGTCTCTCAACCACGGGTTTGTGAGAAATGTACTCAAACGTTTTGTTTCCAGAAAAATGAATTGCCCAAAAGTCTTCAGATATGCGATGTTTCTGTCTCGACCGCCTGAATTATCGCTCGCCGATTGCGCCCCCAGCCCGTTCGTCGCTCAGACCTCTGACCCACTGTCCCGCGCCGCACTTCTCCCCGCTGATCGTGCGACGGTGCGCGTGCCCACTCCCTGGTGATCGTGCGACGGTGCGCGTGCCCCGCGCCGCACCACTCCCTGGCGATCGCGCGACGGTGCGCGTGCCCCGCGCCGCACCACTCCCTGGTAATCGTGCGACGGTACGCGTGCCCCGCGCCCCACCACTCCTCGCTGATCGTGCGGCGGCGCGGGCGCCTCGGGCCGCACCACTCCCCCGCGAAACTTTCCGACATCGGTAACAAATACGCCGGCATTTGCCGGCACCCCTTCATCGCGGCCCGCGCGAATTCACATGTAGATTTTACAGCCCGTATCTGGGCGGCGGTGGCGAGGGCGTCGCGGCGCGGCCACCCGCTCGGAAAGGCGGCGTCCGACGGCGTTTACCATAAATCGGCGCCGACGACGCGCCGGCAGTTTGTTCCGAGCTATTGCTAGTTCCGCCGCTGCGCATTGTGCCATCGGATCCGGTGGTAATCCCCCGCCCCCCCCCCCCCCCCTCCGTCGCTGCCGGCGCCACCTCGGAGGCCTGTCCGCGCCGCCGCCTCGGCCGCCGCGATACCCGGACTCATTACGGATAATTACCTCCTCGCAATGTGCGGCCAAGTGGCAGTTTAAAGAGGGCCGCTGTGTCCCGGCCTGGGGAACGGAACGCGGCGGCGCTAAAAATAAGCCGGCGCCTGTTTTTGTGTGTTTTGAAGATGTGCGGACGCGGCTGGGCTCGGGCCGGATATAAATACATCGCCGTGGATATCCTGTTACCCTTTGGGCCCTCGCTAGCTGTGTTGAAGCGTAGTTTTGTCAGCCAATGTTGATTTGTAGGGCAAGGATCTGCTCTGAGTCGTTCCGGGACACAAATTGGAGATCAGTTTGGCACAGAAGCTCTTGCTTTGTAGGTTTTTCTGCCCCCCGTTCTATCTTGCGTACAGACATTCTCGTGGGATAAAGCTGGTCGTATCTTGATGTGATTTAACCAAACTGGTGAAGTTATCTTCCCTCGCTCGGTCCCGAACTTAAATATGTTGTCGGTCTTATCTCATCGAGGCCTTAGAAGGCTATGAAGGTACTTCAAATGCAGTGGCATGTGGCGATGGATGGTTATTATTCGTCTTTCTGATGTGCAATGAAGCATTATCACCTTTTTACATTGGTTGTTTGGGCGCTTTCTCCATGTGATCATATGGTCATGTGGCGCCGACGGCCGAAAATATGCCATATTAATGCACTGAACAGGATCAAGGCAAAATTGCGATGTCCATGGGTTCAAGCATATGCTTCTCCAGACGCCCCCTCTTACATTTCAATCTCTTTGGATCCGTCAGAACATTGGTCTTTAGCTGTCGTGGCGTTATAACTGCTATCACCTAACGGTGGTTCTCAACTGGGGGCATCGGAAGCCCAACAAAACACAGCCACCGCCCGTAATGCGCGCTCTCCCCATTCAGCCGTCATTTGCGTACGTTCTCGTCTTCCCTCAGCGGTTTCGCTGCTCGCACTCATTCCAGCGTCGTTGTGGCGCGCGTTTGCAACGGCCGTTCCGCTGTCGACCCGCCTCCCCGTGGCCGTTGTTAGCGCGGCACCCTCCGCCGCTCGCCACTTTTGTCTCGCGCGCGCCGATTATGAATGCATAATGTAGCCGATACCGGGTGCTGACTGCTGCTGTTTAGCCGCGGCGCCGTGGACAATTATGGTAATAATTTGCCATTTCGGTCGTTAGACGAGTGCGCTAAATCAGCACTGGCCGCCGTCTCGGACATAACTTCCAGTCCACTTAGCGGCGGCGGCGTGTCGCCTGGCTGCGTGTGGCGTCGCACGCGCCGGGCACGCGCCCGCCGCCAGGCCAGCCGGAGCCAGAGCCGGGGGGCCGGGCACGTGCCGGCCGGCCAGCGGGGTCCGCCACCGGGCCGGGGCCCCCGCCGCCTGGTCGCCGCGTGAGGGCCGTCGCCGCTGCCCCAGCCGCCCGGCCCAACCGGCTTTGACGACCGCCGTCCAGCGTCGACGGCGACGCCGCCCCCGCGCCGCCGATGCGTCGGGGCAAGCGTGGGGAGGTTGGGATAGTCTGCCGCCGCCGCCGCCGCCGCCGCTCAAATGGGCGGTAAATCGTCGGATTCCGCCCGGCCGACGTTCCGGACCGGGCTATGCGCGCCGGTATTTTGACGTGGGAGGCATAGAAAAGGCATCGGCCGCTGGGCGAATGGTCGCGCGCAAGCGTCGACGATCAAGGTAACGACGGCGCGGCGGCGGCGGCGACGGCGGCGCCCGCCCCGTCGACCCGTCATCGCCGCGGATGGTCCGGGCCGAACGGTCCGACGTCGAAGTCGACGATGCGGCGCGAGCCGTCGGCGCTGCCAGCGCTCGCTGAGCCGGTGCGAATTTACGCGCCCGGTATCAGTACGCGATCGCCGCGCGCCGGCCGGTGCTAATGTGGCGTGATCGGACGACCGGCCGGCGCCGAATTTACGGCGTCGATACCGGCCTAATGGCGGCTTTATGGAGCCAGCCCGTCGAAAAAACGTCCCGATTAAAGCGAACAAATTATCCGGCCTGCGACGCACCGAGATCTCTGGCGTTGATTGGGGACGCCGTGCCGTCGCTGGACACCCGGCTATCGGCGGCCTGAGGGGTGGCGAGCAGACGGGACGGCCCCGCTGGCGGCCGGCCCCCTCCCATTGCCGGGTTCACCGCTCACGTGCTCATCAGGTCGGCGCGGCCGCTGAAATGGGTCGGTCATGGCAGAGGATGGGTGACGTTTGTTCACCAGTAGTGCGTAAAACACCAGTTGTTTTATGAAATCGCGTAATGGCTGTACATGCGTTTTTTTCGGAGCAGCGCGTATGTATGCCAGATTCGTACGTACAGCAATTGATTTAATATCGTTGATTTTTATCGGTACGTTACATTCTCCGTCTGGGCCATGCGACACCATTGTCTCCCGTCATTTTTCTAATCAAGTTACTTTCATTATTTGTATTCAATATGGTGGTCGTTGAAGTCTCCCGTCCGAAAGTCTTCTCATATACTTGGTGGGTTCTTTAAACTATCTCCAGGATGCAGTGCTTCAGCGCCCCGTTTTGTCCGTGGGTAAACCACGCCGCGCGCAATCTGGTAAACGGGTTTTGTATCGCCATGTTTCAGCAATGGGGTCATTAATGTGCATGGTAAGAATAGATAATCGCTTTATTTTCTTTCGATTTTAGAGCAGGTGCACCGTAAAGAATAATTACTTGAATAGAAGCCTCTTCTCAGGAGTTATCCGTTTTCCTGCGATCTCGCTTGTTGTAGTTATTCCCGTCATCAAAGTAGTTGGCATACCCGGAGATGCTTCAATCTTTCTTTTGATGTGGGTTGGAAAATGACCATCGCAGTCAGCGCGCTCTTAAACCAACCATCATCACCTTTTGATTCCAATGGCCTTTTCTGCTCCACAAAGATTCATTAGTCACTTTAGAAAATGAAGTCACACGCTGAAGAACACACTTACGTGACCGGCCGCGTCAGAGAAATCACCTGATTCGGGGGCATCAGACGACACAAGTCACGTGCCCAGCTGACAGGGGACCAAAAATCAGCGGTTTAGACTCGGTTGAGATGAGTAGGAATGATATGTATAGTACAGTTCAGTACATGACGTTAAGTTCGAGAAGGTGAGCTGTGGTCGTTAAGGTAACTACAATTTGTCGCTTATCAGCTGAAGGGTGTGATATGTCCATCAGCGTCGTGAGGCCCAAGGCGCCCACTTGAATAAGATGAGGCCAGGCGCAACCTGGCGCTGGCGGTCGGATCAGTTGCAGCGCGCCCGAGTCTGCACACTGTCTCGGCGCTGCCGGCTGTGTGAGCGGCTCTGTCGGCGGCCGCTCGGCATACATAGCCATGAGCCTGAGCCGGGCCGACCAGGCTGGTGGCCGAGCGAGCAGGCCGCCGCCGCCCCCGCCGCCGCTGCCGCCGCTGCCGCTGCCTCGGTACCGCCGGTACACACCCGATGAGTGCTCTCTGAAGCTTGCCGGCGGCTCTCAGGCGAGCACGCTGGCCTGTGTCTCCGCTGCGGCGACGGTACCGGCCTTTCCCCCGCACACGTCCTGTCCGGCAGCTGCTGACCTTATGCCGGCGGGCGTGTGGCGACTGGAGAGCGGCGGCTGCCGCGCGCCGGCTGTGGCTCGGCTGGCATCACCGGCGTCCCGGCTCGCGCCGACGGCCAGGCGTCAGCGCTGGCGTGGCCGTACCGACCGCGGACGCTGCCTCTGCCCGCGTCTCGAGATCTGTGTGCCGTCTCGGGAGCGGACAGGCCGCCGCTAAGACGGGTAGGCCGTCTCTGTTCCTGCCGTGCCTTCCCCGAAACCGCTGCTCAGTTGTGGTGGTAGTCATGGCGCGTCGGGGACGTTTTCGACTTGCCTGTGACCGATGAGTGACAACCGCGCCGGTTGGACCGGGCCTCTGGCTGCCCCTGTCCGCACGCTCCGTGCCAAGGCTGACCCGGTCTGTTGGGCTCTCCGTGCATGCGGCCGATGAACCGTCTCTGTGGTGGTTTGCCGGGAGTATTAGGCCGCATGTGTCCCTGACAGATGACCTGTACCTGTGACCTGTAACAGCGGCCGGCGGGATCTGCCTGGCGCCGGCTTTCGGCCGCTGGTCGGCCCGCCCGGCCGGGTTGCTGGCGCTGATCCGTCTCGACCGGCACTGACCGGACGCCGTCCTCTTTCAGACGCCGTCTCAGGCAACCCGTGCGACGCCACGGATCTGGAGAACGACGAGCGGTTCGTCAGCAAAGGTGGGACCGGCGCCCGCGTCAGCCTCCCCGCCGTCGGCGCGCCCGTCACTCTGTCAAATACATAGTCCTCTGTAGTTTATCGCCTCCACTAATCGCCAATTGCTTGCTCCGGTAGAGATTTATCGGCTCTTCTATTGCGCCGTTCGGGCTTAGCGAAGGAGACAACGAACATTAGTCGGAGGCGAAATTGGAACGGTACCCTCGTGGTCCGCTTACCCCTTCCACGCGGCAGCCGTTTGCCTGGATTACGGCGAATTCTCGGCCGTTTTGCGAGTTGCTTGGTGGGTCGTGCTCTGCCCACAGGATCATGTTCTTTATTCCAACGCCACTTCAGTGGGCTCGTTACGTTGTGTCCCCTGTGAGGGGTGGGGGGAGGGGGGGGGGATGGCGCGCGCTACGCTCCGACTTCTGGAGCTGTTTCCTCCGTGCCAGTCGCTTCTTGTAATGTCTTGTGCTGAGAACATCGGCGCCGTGGAAACCGATCCTGATGTGGCTTGTCAGTCACGTTTGCTCTGCCATGCAGCGGCGGTCATAATCACCTTTGCTTGGCCTCCGTCCTATTTATGTGTGACACGGAGAAGAACCTGTGTTTTCCTGATCCACCCAAGCTTGTTTATATCGTGCTGTTTATACCCGTATATCGTGTTCAATTACGTGCTGAGGACGGCGAGTAACCTTAAGTATGCACTCAATTTTGATGTAATTTTATTGCAGCTAGCTTGAAAGGAGCGATTATGTCAGCTTAATAAAGCACGTTTCTCCGAAATCAAATGCATTCGTGAGCGCGAAATTATACAGTCAGGGACTGAGTGGCGGGATGGATGTGCGTACAGAAGTGGGAGGGGTTCCTGTTTTCCAAGAGCCTGTGCATCCAGCTTGGCTAGCATCCAGCTTAAAGGAATCATTCATTCCGTCTTGGGTGAAGACTTGGACTGGTTTAGAAACCGATGCAATACTTCCAGGAAGACAGAACAATGCAAGTCTATATCGATACGGATACACGACATGTACAGCTTTACATGCAGCTGATGTATGTGCATCGACCTCGTGGAGCGCTGGACATCCAGCGTTGCCTAGGAGCACGGCAGACGGAGCGCTCGCGAGCGGCCCACTGAGGGCAATGGCAGCGGCGGCTGTCTGATGCCCCTCACCGGCCACGTTTGTTTGCAAGACTGTTGTACGACCCACGAGACTTGTGGAGAAGGCGAAGGCGACCTGGGGTATGTGACGAAGTTCGGACGGAGTCTGTCTGGCGTCGTCTGGTGGTGGAGTCGACGGGACTGTGTGGCGGCGTCTGGTGGTGGAGTCGACGAGATTGTCTGGCGGCGTCTGGTGGTGGAGCCGAGGGACTCTGCGGCATGGGTGGGCGTCGGCAGGCGGATGCTGCCGCCAGCTGGATGTCCTATCCCGCCCATCTGGGCCCAGTGTCGGTGACCGGGCACGTTACGCGCCCCCGCCACATCGTCCGCTGATCGGGGTCAGGATCGGACCCAGCCGGGCCGTCCCCGGCGACGGACGGCTGCGTGGAGCAGGAGAACTGACGGCTGGGCTGGAAAGACTGCTCGCTGCCGGCTGCGTCAAGGACGCGCCTGTGCCGCACACAGACGGGCTGACGTCCTCCAGCGACAGCGCACCGCGGGAGAAGAGACAGACGAAGGCTCTCCCAACAACGAGCCGTGCGCTTTGGATGGCAAGATGAGTGAACAACGAGATGTGTGCCTTGAGGAGGAAGACTAACGATCCCGTCCGTGGCAGCGCGCTGTCTCGTCGCGAGGGATGCCGCCGGAGGCGAACAAGCGCGGCCTGTACTCGCCGGCAGGACGGCTGCCTGTGCAGACAGGCGGTCGGGCTGGACGCCAAGCGGGCGGCGGCGGCGGCCCGACCGACGCCGGCCCGCCGCGGGAGTCGGCGACGCGCGCTGGCGCGGCGCGCCGCCTCCTGCACACGGCACGCGCACCGGGTGCCGCCGCCTCTGCCGGTGCCCTTGTCCGTCTCCGCCGGAATGTTGGCAGCAGCCCGCACGCACCGCGCCAAAGGGCTGCCAGCGACGGCACCGCGGCCGCCGACACCGGGCCAGTGGGGGAGCTGGAATACTCCCAACTGGTGCCGGCCGCCCGCGTTCACGCCGCCGGCCCGGCGGACGCACCGGCGGCCGCCGCGACACCGCGCGCGCGCGTGCCGCTCTTTACGACCCCGCGCAGCCGAGGGCGGGCTATTTTTTGCGGCTATCGTGTGGCGCGCGCGCTGGGTCGCTCGGCAGAAGCCGGGAGGCGCAACGAAGCGCACCGCGCGCTGCTCGGGCTAAATTTACCTGGCCTCGAGCGGCGTCGAAATAGAGGCCGGTTCATCGGACGGCGCGCGCCTGCCCTCTGTCGGCGGCGCGCGGCAGCGGCGGCCGTCGCGTGAGCCCATCGGATGCGACTGGCCGCCGACTTCCGTCGCCGGCGACGACGGTGCGTGATAGATTCGACGACGCCGACGATCTGATGCAGTTCCGGCCCCCTCCCCGCGAGAGGGTAAACAATAACGGCGCGTCTGCTGCGGCGATTCTTTCCGCCCGGCCGGGCCGTCGTTAAAATAATGCTGGCTAATCAGAATCGCGCCGATAATATATTCATTCGTCCGTCAGCCGCAGCGATCGCCCGCGACGCCGTGCCAAAACGGGGGACGTGCCGGCCGAGGGGACGGCCGGCGGCGGCCGTTGCGCGCATCGGTATCACTTTGTCGTTAGCCGCACGTGGCGGCGTGGTCCCGGCACTGCGCCCGTCCCGGCGGGACACGTGCCGACCGGCGGGCCGCGACGACCGGACGGCCGAGCGGATTAGCTGACACGGACAGCTCCGGCGGCGGTGGAGTCGCTGATGCTCGGCAGCGGTCACCAGGGCGGGAGCGGGGCGCCGCGTGGTGGCGGCGGACCACCCGGCGTGCCGCATGCGGCTGGCCTCTCCGTCGCGGCTTCCGGCGCCGGAGCGGCGTTTGGGGCGGCCGAGGACCGGGGCTCGGCGGCCGGGGGCCGGCGCGGCCTCTCTCCCGGACGCCGGCCGTATCGCGGGGCGGGGGCCGCGCCTGTTGCCAGATCGGCCCGTGCCCGGGCGCCGTTTGCCGGCCGGCGGACGATGGCGGGTCGGATTATCTCGGGCGCCGCCGATCGCGCCGGCCGGTCGCATCCGGCTAGAAATGCGGTCCGCGTTTTCACCCGTTCGCCGCGCGATGCGGCGCCGGCCGGCCGCGGAGGCCGCGTCCGGTCGCGTTTCTCCGGGGAGGCGCCGCCGGCCGCCGCGCCCCCCGAGCGCCGAGCACCGAGCGGTGCGCGGTTCCGCCTGGCCGGCCGCAGGCCGGCCGGCGCCCGTGCAACGACTGGCCGGCGCCGGCGCCGGCGCCCAACCGGGTCAGAGGCGCTCTCGCCGGTCACGTGGCAGCGGCCGACCGGCCGGCCGTGTCACTGCTGGCGGTGTCGTTAGTCGCGCGCCGTGACCCGGCAGAGGGCGCGATCTGGGTCACGCCCCCGCCGCCGCCCCCGTCCGTGCCCCGGATTGGTTGCGTCATGACGGCCTCTCGGACGCGCGTCCCGTCCTGGCCCGATTGCGGTGCGCCGATTTCGATTGAGATCGGACTCGGCGGACGTAGTGATGGCACGGCGCGCTCGGGATGTGCCGGAGCCGTGAGTGCTGGGCCGCGTTGGTGGAGGTTGCGGCGGTGTTCTGAATGAGACGGTCGCTGAAACTGGGCAAGGGATGACTGATTTGGCTATTGTCTCGCTGAGGTCAAGTCTTCCACCTAGACAAATGCTGAGACATGAGCTGGAGAGAAGCAGTCACTAATCCGGCTTCGTTCCCCCTGCGCTTTGGTCAACCCATAGCGCACAAACCCGTTCTCGCCGTCCGGTCTGAGGGAGCACCTGGGCCGCCATTGTCCGGAGCTGGGTCGGCTCCCAGCCGCTACGGCCGGGGCGGCGGCCCTGTTGTCTGAGGGAGCGCCTGGGCCGCCATTGTCAGGAGCTGGGTCGGCTCCCAGCCGCTACGGCCGGGGCGGCGGCCTTGCTGTCGGCCAGTGGCTCGGGTCGCCTGGGCCGCCATTGTCCGGAGCTGGGTCGGCTCCCAGCCGCCACGGCCGGGACGGCGGCCCTGCTGTCTGAGGGAGCGCCTGGGCTGCTGTTGTCCGGAGCTGGGCCGGCTGCCAGCCGCTACGGCCGGGGCGGCGGCCTTGCTGTCGGCCAGTGGCTCGGGTCGCCTGGGCCGCCATTGTCCGGAGCTGGGCCGGCTCCCAGCCGCTACGCCCGGGGCGGCGGCCCTGCTGTCGGCCAGCGGCTCGGGTCGCCGAGTCCGATCGTCGGCTGGCCAGCCGCCCACGACCGGCCCGTGCCGCGGCCGTGTGCTCTTCCGCCCGGGAACGTTGGATAGGCCAGGGCCATCCGAGCGACAGGCTCGCTAGACGAGCACGCTAGGGGCGGCACCATACCGCGCTCGACTTCGAAGGCAGGCGATGGAGCCGAGCGGCGGCGGCAGGCGGCGGCGCGGCGAGCCTCGTGTCCGCCGAGGTCCGGCATCAGGGGAGAGGCGGCTGCAGGGCTGCCTGGCGCCTAGCCGCGTCCCTGGGTGGACAGACGGCCGGTGTGTCGCGAGCCGGTCCCGGTGCCGGCACCACCAGCCAGCCGGCCGGTCGGCCAGCCCGGCCGTCGTGCCGAGCTCTTCGCACGGCGTCCCGCGGAGCCGACCGGCGCACTTCGAGCCGAACCGCGGCCCCGGCGCGGCCGGGCCTCCTGCCAACGGTGTCAGGCTATTTCGGCGCGGCCCGAAATACGCGACGGCGGCCGGCGAGGTGGCCCTGGACCGCAGCGCCGGCCAGCGCCACCCTTCCGCAGCGGCTCCGGCGGCGGGCCGGCCACCGGCGGCTCCCACTGCGGGGGTCGGAGCCGTCGGCGGCAGCGGCTCCCGCAGCGGCGCCGTCTGCGGCCGGCCGTCGCTGCCGTAACGGGAGCCGCCGACCGCGCCAAATAAGGCGCCGCCCGCCGCCGACGCCGCCGACGCCGACGAGGAGGACGCGCGTGCTGCGCGCTGACCGGCCGTCGAGACGCGGCGCCGTGGTCCCCGCCGCCGCCGCCGCCGTGAACGAGACAGCTGCGCGCGGCGCGGGGGACCGCGCGGGAGAGGCAGCTGGCGCGGCGACGGACAGCTGGCGACGAGCAGGCGGCCGGGGCTCGGCGGCGGCTCACTGGGGCGTCGGCTGCAGGCGCCGGCAGCGGCGCCGGCCGCACGGTATGCCGGCCGCGATCGGCGACCGACAGAGGGCTGGGGGAGAGGTGGCCGGCGGAGGGCCGGCGCTCCTCAGCTCACCGGCACCGCTGGTGTGGACGGCCGGCGCTGGACGGACGTGGCGTGCGGCGGCTGGCCCTCCGGCGCTGCTGACCTCTCGCCTCACCGGCCGCGCCGGCCGCACTGTGAAAAACGGCCCCAGCGCCAGCGCCGCCGCCGCCGTCCGCCGTCTTTGCCAATAAAGGGAGCCAATATTTACATCTGCCTATGAGGGCATCGCCATGCCAAGATCCATGGTGGTTGTTTCGGCCGGGGGGTGCGCCAGGGATCATCGCCAGGAAAAATTCCGACAAACGGCCAAATTTCGGCCGTCTGGCTGGCCGCGGCCGCCAGCCGGCCGGCTTCCAAAGCGGCGCGGCGGCCAAACTGGCGCGGGCCGCGCTGGCCACCGGCCGCACTTGTTGGTCGGCACGACCACGAGCTGGCGACGGCTAAGGGCAGGGGAAGCGGCACGTGAGGACAGCAGACGGCCGCGCGCTGGCTGGGACGGCGGGCGAGGGCGGCCGCGCCGGCAGGCGGAGACGGCAGGCGCGCCCAGGGACAGTGGACAGACCGGCAAGGCACAGATGTGTGGCCGAGTGAGCGGCGGGCAAGAGCGGCGGACGGACGGGCGGATGGAGAAGGCGGACGAACGGACAGAGGAATGGCCAAGAGGAACAATGGACTGACAGTGGGAGGCGCAGATGCACGGAGGACGGACGGAAGGACACGCATACGGATGCGCGTTCGTAAGATGGACGGCCCGATGACCGGCGTCGGAGATGACAGACAGCAAGACCAAAGAACGCAGCTACGAAATGGCGGCCGGCGGCCGGATGAGATGGCGGCAGCGGTGACGCGCGCGCGCGCGGCTAAAAGTGGCGCGGCGCCGTTCTGTTGCAGGCGTCTGGGCGGCGGCCAAACGGCGCCGGGCCCGCGCGCGCTATTGCGTCGTAAAGCGGGCCGAAAACGCAGTGACGCCGGCATTTGCATGTGGCAACGCGAGCCGACCGGGCGGCCTCGCGTCGGCGGCGGCTCGGAGCCGCTCTGGAGGGACGTGCTGCCGTCCTCCTGAGCAGCGCGCCGCTCGCAGCCAGTCGTTCGCAAGGTCGTTGCGAACGCGGCGCAGATTCGGAGATCTGCAGAACTTTCTGTTTGCCGGCGGGCGTCTCGTTGTCGTAGGCTAACGTTTTGGGGCGCGGACGCTGTGGGGTATTCTGTGGATGGTTGCATTAGGAATACATGGCCCTCCGCCGTGTTCGGTGGTGGTGACGGTCCAATGGGGAGCTGATTTTTAAAAGAGGCGTGGGGAATCGCGCCTAAAATGCAGATCACTCAAGCTTGTAGAATGACGACATAGCGCACTGCGCCAAAATGACTCGTTTTCCCTCACACTGATCTAACGGGTCCGATGTGCGCCATGTTATCCCACCGCCCGCTCCATCCGCGCCGGCTCGGGCCCCGCTCCCACCCCTGCTGACCCCGCACCCGCGCGGCGCCCTCCGCACTCGCCGGCGTCGGCGCCGACGGGGACCGCCCTGGGGTGCGCCCTGCCGTCGGAGTCGTGCCAACTAATCAGCCGCGGCCGGCGTCGCGTCGCCGACGACACAGAAAAGGTCTGCCGCGACCGGGGGGCGGGTGGGCCGGCCAGGGCGCGGCGCCAGGGCGGCCGGCCGCGCTGGCTGCCCTCCAGCCGCCGCCGCGCCGCCATCAAAACACACCGACGCCGCAGATACGGCACCGATGATAAATGATTGGCCGGCGGCGGCGACAGCCGGCGGCCGGCTCGCGTCATCAGGCGCCGCCCCCTCTCCCCTGACGTCATCAGGGCCTGCCCCGTCTTCCCTAGCGTCATCATGCGCCGTTCCTGATGTCACCAGGGACCTTTCCTGACCTCATCGGAGGCTGCCCCATCTTCCCTGATGTCATCAGGGGCTGCTCCGTCTTCCCTGACGTCATCGGGTGCTATCCCGTCTTCCCTGGCATCGTTAGGTGCTGATCGCCACTCTGCGTCATCCGATGTTGTCTTACCTTCCCTGACGCTATCAGGCGCCGCCCCATCTACCCTGTGCTCATCAGGCGCCGCCCCATCTACCCTGTGCTCATCAGACGCCGTCTCCTCGGCGTTCCACTGTTAAGCTCTCTGACGTCATCCGATGTTGTCTTACCTTCCCTGACGCTATCAGGCGCCGCCCCATCTACCCTGTGCTCATCAGACGCCGTCTCCTCGGCGTTCCACTGTTAAGCTCTCTGACGTCATCCGATGCCTTTCATCCCCGTCCCACCTCTTTTCCCCACCCTGCGCTGCCCGACCGCCGGCTCCCTCGCTCCCTCGCTCCACCGCTCTCCGCTCCCAGACTGCACTCCTCCCGGCTCTGTCGTGAGGCCGGCCGTCACCAGCGCGTGCTGCACCTCCTCGCAGGTGCCTCCGCTGCGGCAGGCGGGCTGCTCGCTGTGTAGCCACTAACGCTAGCTAGGCCCTGTCGCCGCTTCCACTAACCGCCGCTCTCTTTTTCTCTCTCCCTCTCTGTCTCTCTCTCTCTCTTTCTGCGTGCTTCCCGCAAGGCCACCACCACCCGTCCATGTACCTTCAGCAGTGGAACGGAGCAGACCTCAGCGGCTGCTTCCACTACGGTGAGGCCATGCACGCCGCGTCGGCGGCCGCGGCCGCGCCGCCAGCCGGGCCGTAGGCGCCCGGAGCCGGCCACCGGTCCGCTCCGTGCCGCTAGACCTGCCTGGACGTGTTGTTCTTAGAGCTTACCGAGGCCTGTCCGTCTTTCCTGTAGGCGGCGACGGACGAGGGCTGGTGGCAGGCTTGTTCGGTCGGCAGTCGGCTATTTTAAGGTCTTTAGAAGCTGTGGCTAGTCGTCTAGATAACGTTACGTTTTGGCACACGTCCATACACTCTTCGGAAGCCGTTGGTGTGTCCTATGGCTGTCGGATTTTTTTTTCTGGAAGACGCACGGTGACGTCAGAGCACGAGTGCTTGTAGAACCGAGACCAACCTTTCTCGTTAACCTGCTTGCCTAACATGGCTGTCTGTGAGCACTCTTTACAAGCCTTCTTAGATATTTGCCTGCACTCTACAAGCCTGCCCAGTTATCTGCTTGCACTCTTTACTAGCCTGCCTGACTGTCTGCCTGCACTCTTTACAAGCCCGCGCGCCGCACCTGTCTCAACAGCCCATGTCCTCAGTTCTGCACGCCGCGCTTCCATTTGTCAACAGATGCGGCGGGAGTCCTTCGGGTCTCGTCTGCGTTTTGGCAGGCCAAGCCCTCTCCGCGCCGTCGAGCCCCTAAATCAGCCGGTTGTCCGTCAGCTCAGCTGACTCCTCATCCTCGGCCCGGGCTGCACGTGCACGGCAGGGCACGGCGCCAGTGGCGCCACCTGCACCTGGCGGCGCTCTCAATGGCCGGTGCTGACCGGGCGCCGTCTGCGTGCCACCCGCCAGCCCGCCCGGCCGCCCGCCCCTGACCCTCCAATTAATGCCAACTGGCCGGCGGCGCCGTTCCAGCGGCCGCCAGCCAATAGTAGCGCCGCCGCCAACAACCACATGTGACCGGGCCGGCCGCCCGCACGCACACGCCGATTTGCCAAAACTCCATGCGGCGGCGGCCAAGTGTCGCGGCCGGCCGGCGGTGACGCGGCGGCCGCGCTGGCAGCGCCGGCGGCCGGCCTGCCAGCCCGCGGGTCCGGCGACCGGCGCCGGGCGCGGCTCGCGCCGAGTGGCGCCGCCGGCGGACGCCGGGCCGCGGGTAGCGGGCGCCGGCCGCTCCGTGCCTGGAGGGCGGCTTGGGGCGGCCGCCGACGCTGCCAGCCCGGCCGCCGCCGCGGCCAGAGCGCAGCGAATGCGTGCCGCTCCACCATCGAAATGCTTTCAGAAAGGATTGATAGCGTCTAGCCGCATTCAGTAAGCTGTTTTTATGAAGTTCGTTCAGCCGTATTGCGTCATGCATTCGCATCCGTGATCATGCTGCAACGGATGACTCCCAACCGAAAATCAGTCAGTTTTACGAGATGCATTCCTGATGTAGCTGTTGGCATGTCTCCATTTCGCAGAACAAACAAAAAACAGGTCTTTAATTTGGTTCTCTCACCAATGGGCAATATATTTTGACGTTGGGGTCATTAGTCGGCGGGCTTCTGGACTGGTACCCGATCTGCGCGGCAGGTGGCGGTAACAACATTCATCACGGGCTTTGGCCCACCTGTCCACCGGCGCTGGTGGCGCATTAACGTCTCTGCAGTCAGGCGCAGTACCTTACTGCCAGCTGAACGTCTCGGTGTAATTCCCTTCGTCTCAATGAAATATGTCCAGCGTATTCCCGCTCACCTATCAGGTATTCCTCCGCCGTCCGATGCTGTTCAGTCAGATGTCGCCATGTACTCCCACGTGTCCAGCGGAGTCTATGTTGCTAGACCCGTCTCGTCAGTTCTCTGCCGCTACATGTATCCCGCCGAATATTGCTACGCTGTCCTGTTCCTTGCGTGCTCCTGCACAATGCCATCTCTTCCATGTGATAGTCCTGTGCTGAGTGTCAGGCGGCCCGTCCGCGTCTCGCGTTGCTCGATTGCGGCTTTGACCACCTGTCGTGCCCCGTTCCGCCGTGATGAGACGCCTGTACTGTTCGTAGCCCCGACCGCTGGCGTGCTGCAGCGCCTGTGAACGTTCCGCCGTGATGAGACGCCTGTGCTGTCCATATCCCCGGCCGGTGGCGTGCTGCAGCGCCTGTGAACGTTCCGCCTCCCGTCCGGGGCCTGTCTGAAGCTGTCTGTAGGTACTCTGTGCCCCATTTGCCACGGCCGTCGCCCCCTGAGCAGCTGCACGTCGGGCGGTGTTTTGGTTCGCGCTCTGGTCGGACCGGTTCCCTTGATGTATGCTGTCGGTGCCCCGACCGGAGCGCCGGTAGGAGCGGCGTCGCGTTCCGGACTGCCTGCACATTGCCCGACGTGCTGATGCCCAGTTGCCCTCCACGTGTCTCACTGCACTGCGTGCGTGACCCTTAAGGACATGCGTTGACCTGCAGCCAGCCCTGAACGCTTGCAGCGGCCGGGTCCGCTCGCCCGTGAGTGTGGCTGGGGTGTTTGGCTGTGCTGTCGTGCTGGGCTCGTTTCCAAGTGTGAGCCGCCGCGGGCCGTGGCGGGGAGCGGTGCCGTGGCGCGCGCCGGTCTGGTCCGGCGCCGGCCGCTCTGTGAGCGCCCTCTGTCTTGCATCGGCAGGTCACTACAACCACAACCCGTACACGGGGGTGCTGCCAAACGACACGGTCATGACCACGGGCGTGTTCTCGTCGTCCGAGCTGTGGCGCCTCTCTCGGGGTAAGTGGCCAGCTGGCCGGCGCGCCCGGCGTCGGCGTCGCAGGCCGGACGCCCTGGCCCTGGAGCCCCCGCCACCGCCTGAGCTCTCCCACACCGCCAGCGGTCCTGTGTGCCGATCTCACCATGCCACGCTTCGTCTCAGCCCCCGCCGTGGCCCCACCGGCCGGCGGTGCCGCGCTGCGCCGGCTCCTCCCGCCCGCCCCCTCGGGGATTGTGTTGGAGCGGCGGACGGATCTGCGGCAGCTCGGCCGCCTGATCCTGCGCGTCGCCCGGTCGACACTTGATCGCCGTCGCCGCTATCGCCACCGGCTTCCGACTCGCCGCCCCGCAGTGCTCAGCTCCAAAGCCAGGCCGCACCCGCTTCCGGCCAATTTATTCCACGCATGCCGTCGTAAACCGGGGCCGGGATTATTTTCGCGTATCGCAGGTTTATCAAGGCGCGCCCAATTTCTCAAGTTGGATCATAAAGGCCGGGTGGCAGCCGGGCCGGCGGCGATTGCGGGCCTTCTGTTGTGTCGCAACCGATCTGCCGGCTCCTGTCAGCCCATCCGGGGGCGAGGGAGGGGGGAAGGGGAGGAGGAGACGGGACACGGTGGAAGGCGGGGAAACGACCGAAACACCAGGGTAGGACACCAAATGTGATAGTAGAGGTTGACTTTCTAGTGTGACTAGCGCACCAGCCCCTGCCGAATGAAGTCGCATGCTAATGTCTCTCCTGGGAAACACGAGGGACAGCTTTGCGTCTAAATGTTCGAACTCTCCGTTGGGCGCCTGCTCGTTTTTCGAGTATGGCTGGAGCCGAGAGTGCGTTACCAGCCGCCGTCCCAAGCGCGGCGGCCGTCGCGCCAGGCACGCCCCTGAATTGGACAGCGGTGGCGTAAGCCAGCAAGCCGTGACCGGAGGGCGCGTCTGGCCCGTGTCGCCCGCACCGCGCCTGGTGTAGGAGGCGGCGGCGGCGTTCACGGCGGCGGCCGCTGGTCGGCCGAGGGCGCCGCGTGTGATCGGCGCCCGGCCGTCGGCGCGTCTCTCTGTCCCCTGGCGGCCGTGATTAGCCGATGGGGCAGCGCTGGGCGCCGCCCGCCGCTCCATTGTCACCTGGCCGGCCGGCCGCTGCGCCGTTTGGCTAATGAAGCACGGGCGGACGGCGGGACGGGCGCCGATTGCGGCGCGGAAGGGGAACGGCGCGGCCGACGGCACCCGGTGGGGAAGGGCCGGCAGATTGGTGGCGGCGCTGAGGGTGCAGGCGGATGATGGTAACATGCGAATTGAGGCATTGAGGAACTGAGGAACTAAGGGCTTGTTTTTGCGTGTGCGTTGGAACTGGACGCAACTCATTTGAAACAATCATTTGAAGGCAATAGGGGATGAAGGCTTTCTTAGTCGTTGTATTTTTAAAAAAATATTGTTAGATAATGCAGGTTAAAAATTCCCTTACATTCGTGCCTTGAATTCGAGTCTGTGGTTGATAAGATATAGCTCTGTAGGTGTGTTACTTCTCCTCCCCTCCCCTCCATTTCCCTGATGGCTCATTGAATTAATCGTGACGTATTTTGGAAGTCATCAAAAAGATAACTCGATATCAAAACCTCATCAAATTACACAGGAGTAGTTCATTTGATTTGCCCCATTAGCTCTCCCCTGAGCTGGATGCAATCGTCTCATACGGGCTCACCGACGATATAGACGTCAAGCAGCCCCTTCAGTAAATTCCTTCGGAAGACGCACGGTCGCCCGGCCCGCCCCGGCTGCCTTGAGCGGGGCTGGCCGGCGGTCCCCGGCCGCTCGTGCGGGGTGATGGGCGACGACAGTGTCCCGCAGCCGGCGCCGCTCGCGCCGGGCCCGGCCGCCGCCCGTGCCGTGTCAGCGCCGGGCCGCGCAAATCATGCGCCGCCGCCGACGCGGGGGACGCGGGCCGCCGCCGGCCACGCCCCTGGCAGCGACCGTGCTGACACGGACCGGCCAGGTCGGGCCGCCGGGCACCGGCCGGCAACGCGCCGCGCCGCGCCGCGCTGACGGAGTGGGCGGCCGGGCGCAGTGTGGCGGCCGGACGGCGCCCGAGAGCGACCCTCGGCGCCAGCTAATGACGCGGCCCGGTGTCACTCGCGCGGCGGAAATGAAGCGGCCGCGCCGCCACCGCCGCCGCTCGCCTGCGCCCGCAAAACAGCGCCGTAAAAGTGATGGATTCGCCGGCCCCTAATCGGCCCGCTGTTGAGCGCCGTGCGCCGCATTAGCCGCTTTGTTGCCGAGAGTGCGGCGTGCATACGGCGCGGTCTGGGTGTGTGACGCGCAGCGCCCGGTCGGCCGGTGCGGGGGCTCAGAGGATGAGAGACATCGGTGCTGGGAGGCTGCTGCATCTTCCTCAACGGAGTTGGATGTCACCCCGATCATGGGGCACTGATGGAAACGTCAAAAACTATCAGCATAGAACTTTTTGATGCCAGGAAATTTGTCCGTTCCTCCCATTCAGGTGCTGGTCAGCCACTTATTCTCCCGTGTTCGGCTGCGGGAAATTGTCATTTGCTGTTAACGTTAGTACATACTAACGCCAGTATCAACTATATTAGCGTGAATATCTAGGCATGTTTATATCAGAAGAAGTAAAGGACCCACAAAGGAGGTCTTTCAGTTCTCAGGAATGCATAGTTCCTCATTGTCACCCTTTTACAAGATGATGCCATTTGGAACAATGGTCCACAGTTGATCACTTAGTGCTCATGTCTGTTTTGCTTAAACCATGCTAGTCATGCTGTAAAGGTGCCCTCGAGGGTTATGTTTCACTCACAGTGCAGCGATTTCGTCTCGCGGCGTGCCGTGATGTAGTTGCGCCCGTTCGCTTGTTCTTTGCGACGGAGCGCGGCCGCGGTCGCCCGCGCCGGTCCGCGTGCCGGTCCCGGCGCCGGCGTGCGCGGCGGTCTGCCGGCGAGCGACAGAGGGGGTCTGCACCGGATGGCGGCGGCGGCCTATTAATGCACCCCGAGCGGCGGCCCGATCACCTCCAGCGGCCGCGACTCGGCTCAATCGCCGCCCGGCAAATGATGAGGAATGAGAGGGCGGCCGGCGAAAGGGGTGCCGGGGACCGCGGATGGGGGCGGCCGAGGTGCGGGGACCGAGGTGCGGGGCTCGTTGGACGACTGCGGCGGCCGGGGACCTCCCGCTGATTGCTGCACGGGGCTGGGCGTCCGAGCCGGCGCGCGGCCTGAAACCCCAGCAACTTTTTTGTCACCCACCAAGCAAATCGTCGACTTGTCTTGATTGCTGCACGTACTGTCCAGGACGTCTGACGTCTGCTGGCGCTCACCTGTACCGCATGAAGTGTTGCGCGCCCGTCTGCAGGGCACCAGCGAAAGGCACGGCGGGCGCGTCACCACTGGTGCGTGCGTGATCACCTGAGCCGGCCGGTGCTGTACGGGAGTGTGGTGTGCCCGTGGCGTGTGCCCCTGCGGCGGCCGCTGACGACGGCGCGCGTCTCGCCAGGCTCGATCGTCTCGCCGAACGGCATCAGTCCGGCCACACTGACCACCATCAAGGTGGAGAACTCGTCCGTCAACTACTACTGCAGCAGCTACACGCCGCCGGCGCCCGACCACCACGGCCTGCTCGTCTCCGGCGCCTACTGTGAGTGCCACCCCCGGCCACCCGGCCACCCGGCCCCGTCCCCGGCCCCTGCCACCCGGCCACCCGGCTACCAGTCATCGGCCCCGGCCCGGTCACCAGCGCATGATCTAAACAGGAATGTGTGGACCTTGTCTCCATGTGTGCCGTACGAGCGCTGTTAACGGTGGCATCGATGGTGAGGCCGGGTCAGGGGCGTTGACGGCGGCGGTAGTTATCGTGCCGGCGGCTCCTGCGGGTGTGCGCTGTCTGCCGCTGTCCAGGAGGGCTCCGACGGCTGCCTGACGCTGAGCCGGCACCTGGCGGCACACAGCGCTGTGTTCTCTGGCCGCTGGCGCCGGCTGCCACTCGGCCGCGGCCCCGTGTTGGCGCCGTCGCCGCTGCGTGCGAGCGCGCGTCCCCTGCCCGTCTGATTGACGGTGGCGCCGCCGTGCGTGCGAGCGCGCGCCGCCTGCCCGTCTGACTGACGGTGGCGCCGCCGTGCGTGCGAGCACGCGCCGCCTGCCCGTCTGACTGACGGTGGCGCCGCCGTGCGTGCGAGCGCGCGCCGCCCGCCCGTCTGACTGACGGTGGCGCCGCCGTGCGTGCAGCGGGTGGCGGCGGTGGCGGAGGCGGCGGCGGCCTGGCGATGCCTCGCACCTCGCACAGTCCGGCGGCCGAGCCGCGCGTCAAGCGGCTGCGGCGGCTCAGCTCGGACGAGGAGCGCGACCGGCAGGCCGAGATCGGCTACTACGGCCAGTCGCCCGTCTCGCTGGCCTCCCAGGGCTCGTGGCACGCCGACGTCGACCACAGCACGTTCGGTGAGCGGTGCACGCCGCCCGGGCCGCGCCCTGTAGTGTCGCGCGCGCGCGCGCGCGCCGTGTACCGCCGTCCCGGGCATGCTGTACAGACGGACAGCCGGCGATCTAACCCCCGCCCCGCCCGCCCCGCCCGCCCCGCCCGCCCCGCCCGCCCCGCCCTCTCACTCTCTGTCTGTCCGTCTGTCCGTCTGTCTGTCTGTCGTCTTGCTCTTTCTCTCTCTCTTTCTCTCTCCTCTCTGGCCCTGCTGGACTCGCTGGAGTGTGACCGCGCCCTGTGCGTGTGCGTGTGCGTGTGCGCGTGCGCGTGCGCGTTCGCGTTGCGCGTGCCCGCAGCCACTAACCGTGTGCCCCTCTCCTGCAGCCGCCGCCGCCCTTCCCCTCGTGCGCGCCCCCTCATCGGAGCCCTCAGGCCAGGAGCACCGGCCGGCCGGCAGTCCGCACCACAGAGAAGGTAAACGGACCGGCCGCGGCGGTCGCGTTCACCGGGCTGGGTGGCGAGCGCAGGGTCGGTCGGCGGCAGGCGCTCGGACGCCGGAGAGAGGTAGGCGGCACCGTCGGCGGGCAGACCCCGAGCTGGCGGCGCGCGGCGTCCCGTCCACCGTAGAGTGTGCCAGCCTGACGCCGGCGGCGAGCGCTGCCGGCCGGGCGTGGAGCCGCAACCCCACCTGTCTGTCCGTGTAGCAGAGGCGTCCTTGCCAGCCGTGTGCGTGTCTGTGTGTAACACGCCCGCCCACTAACGCAGCGCCGCCGTCTTGTGATGGCGCCGATTGGTGGCCGGCCGGTTTGGGCGCGTGACGGCGTCCGATCGCGTGGTGCCGAGCTGACGCTCACGCTCGGCGGTCACGTCCGCCGGGCTATCCTGCTCCCCTGGCGGTGTTGGATGGTCGCCCTGAGCCGTGTCCGGGGTGCGTCGGCCGCTGACCCGGGCCTCCCCCGCCCGGCAGCCGGCCTCTCCAACATGATCCTGCCGAGCGCCAGCTACTACCAGGAGTCGGAGCACAGCCCGGGCAAGTACCAGGAGAACGGGCACGACACCTTCTCCGACTTCGTCACGCTGGTGTGCCAGGAGGCGCAGAACACGCAGCCGCAGGTGAGCAGTGGCGCGGGGCGCGAGCCGCGGCTGGGCGGCGGACAGACGGCCTCAGACTGGCGGACTGGGGCCGAGACCGGCATTGTGGAAACGGGCCTCAGGGTGAGACTCCGTGGGCGTGGGATGGGATTGCGGTGGTGTGGCGGACGTGCTGACGCTACCATTGAACGGGTGCAGAGGCCTCATCTTTCGGAGATACTGGGGGTTAGACCAGCGACTGGGCGGCCAGCTGAAGGACTGTGCTGAGGGCCACCCCGGAGACTGGGACTGACGCTGATTGCAGTGCTGACTGGCGGCGTGCACTTAGAGCCCTCAGCTGGTCCAGGAGACTGGTCCTGAGATGTGCCTGCGTACTGTAGATACCGAGATTGCAGCGACTGAGGCGGAGAATGAGAATGCCGCGGCGACTGAGGGGCCGTCCGCTCAGTCACCGCTCCCTCCCCCATTTGTGTTCGGTTGTCGTCATGCTGAGCGCCGGCCGCCCCGGCTCTCAGCGTCCGTTTGTGTGTGTGTGTGCGTGTGTGTGTGATTTCTGTTGTCCCGCACTGGCCGCAGCAAGGCCTAGGCTTGGCGTTAGTGGCGTTTCGTTTGGCCCGCTTGTGCTGCCCGCCCAGGCTTGTGCTGCATGAGCTCCCTTGGTAACGCCTGACCGCTGGGTGTTGTTTTAGACGTGGAAGTCGTCGACCATAACTAAAGCTAACGACAGCCGTCTGCTCTGGAAGGAGGGCAAGGTGAGAGGGCCGCCGCGGTCTGCTGTGTTTCCGGGCGTGCGCACGCGGCCCGTTCTGATTTGCATCACGCGGGCGCGTAGAAACGTCAAACGAGCTTTGGCCGATGTAGGTTTTGCGCAGCGCTTGCGTTGTTACAAGTGATTTTGGGCTAGACTGCGCCGCTGTTGCACGGGATTCGCATTGTGCAAACGGCCTCGAGCCGCGTACCGTTAAAGATGCCTTGTGACTGCTCCTTATGCGGGTGGGCCGCCGGCCGGCGTCAGCGGCCGGGGCCGGGGCGCGTGGCGTGCGGCGTGCGGCGTGCGACGTGCGGGGCGGCGCGCTGAGCGGCGTCGCGGCCTTTCTGTGCCGCCAGGCGTCGGTGCCCACCGGCACGCTGTCCGTCTCCAGCGCCGCCGGCCGCCAGCACAAGTACTACAACAGCAGCATGCTGCCTCCGCCGCCGCCGCCGCCCATGGCGCGGCCGGTGGCCATCATCCGCTCCACGGGTGAGGTTCGCAGCGGCGCTTGGTCGCCGCCGCCCATGGCGCGGCCGGTGGCCATCATCCGCTCCACGGGTGAGGTTCGCCGCGGCGCTTGGTCGCCGCCGCCGTCGCCGCCGCGGGGGCGCCGTCCTCCCTGTGCGTGAGCACGGCTAAGGCTGGCCCATAATGCGTCCGTCGCCTGGTCTGACGAGCTGGGGTGTGGCTATCGCGCCCCTGGCGTGTGCGCGCGCGTGTGGCACTCACAGGTCAACTTGTGCCAGAATAGCGAAGTGCTCGACCCAGATGCATTCCGCTCTTTTTCACTTGTGACAAAAGTTAGGTGATGTGATTCCCATATTCTCAAAGCGTCATGTTTTAACTCGTAGCGGGTCTTTTGTTGCTGTGCGGCGTCGCGCCCGCGCGTGGTTGTGGCGCCGCCGTCAGTGCGTTGGCCACCTCTGACCGTCGGGCCGCCCGGCAGCGGACGTCACCTGCGGCAGCGAGGCCTCGCCGCCGTCGGCGCACGCCGTCTCGCCGCACGCCGTCTCGGTCGTCATGGAGACGGACGCCGCCGGCGAGCGCATGACGTCGCCGCCGAGCAGCTCCAGCAACGGCCAGGTGAGCGGGCGGCCGGCGCGGCCCGCCCGGGCCGGCCCCGTCGCGTTCTGTCGGAATAACCCTGACCGGCGCCGCCCGCGGCCGGCGCCTGTCCGCGCCGTCCAGACGTGACGTGACGCGGTGTGACGTGTTGCAGGCCAGCCCGGAGCCGGCCGGCCGGCGCGGCAGTCCCGTTATCACGCTGGTGCAGCACGCGGTGACCGGCCAGGTGAGCCGGCGGCCGCCGCGCCGCCCGCGCCAGCCGGCCGCGCCGCCGCCTGCTCTGGCCGCCCCGGGCTGCCGCGCGCTCTGTACTCTGCCGCCGCCTCTCTGCCAGCTGGTGCAGCGCAAGGGGCTCCTCTTCTCTGTCGTCTGCTACGGCTCAAAGGGCTTCTCTGTTTGTCACGGCTCATAGGGCTCCTCTGCCTGGCACGGCTCAAAGGGCTCTTCCCTGTCCGACACTGCTCAAAGGGCTCGACTGTCCGGCCAGCTTAAAGGGCTGTTCTCTGGCTGGCACGGCCCAAATGGCCCTTCTGCGTTTCAAAGCTCAGAACGCTCTACTCGGTCCACCACAGCGCAAAGGGCTCCTCCATTTGATCTAGCTCAAAGGGCTCCTGTCTGTCAGCCGCGGCTTAAAGTGCTTCTTTGTCAGCCACTGCTCAAAGGGCTTCGCTGTCTGCCATGGCCCAGAGGGCTCCTCTAACAGCCATTGCTTAAAGGGCTCCTCTGTCTGCAAGGGGTCAGAGGGTTCCTCTGCCGGCCACGGCTCAAATGTCTCCTGTATCTGCCACGGATCAAAGGGCCCCTCTTTGTCAGCCACGGCTCAAAGGGCTTCTCTGTCCGTCATGACTCAAAGGGCTGCTTTCTCAACCATGGCTCAAACGGCTCGTCTGTCAGACACGGCTCAAAGAGCTTCTCATTGCCAGCCACGTCTTAAAGGGTGCCTCTGTCTGCCACAGCTCAAAGGGCTCCTCTTTGCCAGCCACGGCCCAAAGGGCTCCTCTGTCTGCTACGGCTCAAAGGGCCCCCGTCTTCCCGTCACGACTCCAGGGGCTAGCTACTGTCACAGCTGTCGGCTACCACTCCTCCCATGGCTTTTCTGTCACTCTTCCGGCACATATGTGACCTTTTCTCCGCCAGTTATCACATCTAACAGAGCTGCTGTTGCCAGCTATCAGCTTTCTCATTACTGAGAGCCGCTCTCTGCCAGCACCCGCGTCTTGAGCTTGTGCCTCACCAGAAGCCGTGGCGTTTACTGGCTCTCCTCCAGCTTGTGCGCTGCCCGGACCACGTGCCCGCCGACGGCCGCACCTCGAGCGGCAGTCTCCGCCAGCTGCGCCGCAGTATCGGGATTCTGCGCTGCCTGCTGCCGACGATTTGTGTCTTTAGCGCGGCGCTCCGTGGATCGCACGATCAGTGTTCCTTCCGACCCATGGTCGCGTGCACATGGGTGCATTCCAGTACAGGAGCAGCTCTGCGGGCGGTCGCGCGCGTCCCTGCACGGTTTGAAGCGGTGCTCTAGGGTTGCGTAGCCTGATCTGTTCCGTTCGCCCGGCACATGCCCCGCTAATGCCGGCGCGACTTCGCTCTTCAGCTGGGTAATCGTTCAACTGTCGCCCAGTCGTGACCGCACTGTGGCGCTACTGGTGCTTCACTCCTGGAGACTGTTCGGCCCGCGCTGCCGGCTCAGTGAGATGGTGCCTCGGGCGTGATGAAATGGGTTCAGATGAGATCGGTCAAACGATGGCTCGGGGCTCGGTCAGACGGTGGCTCGGGACTCGGTCAGACGGTGGCTCGGGGCTTGGTCAAACAATGGCTCGGGGCTCGGTCAGACGGTGACTCGGGGATCGGTCAGACGGTGGCTCGGGACTCGGTCAGACGATGGCTCGGGGATCGGTCAGACGGTGGCTCGGGACTCGGTCAGACGGTGGCTCGGGCTCGGTCAGGCGGTGGCTCGGGGATGAGTCAGACGGTGGCTCGGGACTCGGTCAGACGATGGCTGGGGACTCGATCAGACGCTGGCCCTGGGCTCGCTGAGACAGTGACTCGGGGCTCGGTGAGACCCTGGCTCGAACGACACCGGTGCTGTCTGGTGGCTTCATCACGCCGTCATCTACACGCTTCGGCTCGCCGGCCGGGTTCCCCGCACCCTTTCAGTTGGCTTAGGGTGAAGTCGCTGATCTCTTCGCTCTGCCACAACACTTTCTGCTGTCTGCTTCTGCGCTTGGTGTACCCTGGCTTTGGAACCGGCTCCTGGTACATCGGCGTGCGGTCGATTGTGTTTTTGTTTAGCTGGTCATAGCATGGGAGACTAACTGAGATACGATCGGGTCACTGTGTCGGGCTAGGTGATACACTTTAATGGCAGATTGGGACTCACTGCTGCGCACAAAACGTGATCTCGGCAGCGCTGGCCGTGGCCTTGTTTTGCCCGCGAACGTTGGGCTGACCTTATTCGGGTTTTGGCAGCTGATCTTTCATCACTTTTGGAGCCTGCGGTTCGTGCATCGCAACCCAAGTCCCGTTATGAAGACAGCGTGCATCGTAAAGGGACAAAAAATGCCCAAAATGATAAAAATAACCAGTCGCATTATTTGCTGTCACGCATTTTTTTCGTCAAACCCACATTTGCTGCTACGCAGCTTTTCGCCAACTCTTTTAGCTAAACAAAAAACAAGGAATTTTAGCGTTTCAAGTGTCACATGCCTGTAGATCTCTAACAAATGAATTCAATGTGCACAGGCCGAATTGGCATCGATCGCGGATGGCTGGTGTTGTTCAGGGCCGGTTCCACACTCTCAAGGGTCATGTAACGCCGGTGTGTGCTCCAGCCCGTCAGAATGCATCTGGTATTACAAATGCGCTTGTTTCTGTGGCTTGCAACATTGCTGTGAGCAACGTCGCATGACTTGTTAACTTAAGTTGTTTAAGGAACTTCTTACTCTGTGTGAGCGTGCCTCCCATGTGTTTACTCACCCTGGAATATATGTGAACCGTCTAAATCAGCCCAGCACAGTTCTCGTGCGGCGTACTGCAAAGTGGATGCAAATGGGAGTTCTGGCATCTGATTTGTCTGGGAACAGTCAAACGATTGCCAGGAACCGTCGGCAGAAAGAAGTGCAATCCCGCGAAGCACATTATTGAGCTTTTCGTTGGAATATGAGCGATGTGAAGAACGCTGGCGACTTGAACTGCAGTCATGAGGCTATCACTTCAAAGTTGCCGTCTGTCCGCAGCTGTACGACGGCTGACTTTATCTGACCCCTGCGACCTTGGCCTGTGCCGGCAGACGCGCCAGATGTCCTGTGTATCCGGCCCCTGTCTCCTGTGACCCGACTGTGCACGTCCGCTGGCGGTCCCACTTACCCGTGACCTGTGTCATCGTCCCCAGCCGTTCGCGTGCGCCAGTATCGCCGAGTTCTGCGGCCGCTGCTCGCCGTTGGTTCGCTGTTGGCTGTGACAGAACCTTCTCTCCGCAGCTGTACACGTACACCAGTATTCCCGGCTCGGTGAGCCCGACCAACATGGCGCTGTACACGTCGCCGCCGCGCTCGGCCGCCAGCAGCGTCGTGCGGATGTCGACGGGTTCGACCGGCGGCGGCGGCGGCTCGGGCACCCCCAGCGCCTCCGGCGGCGGCCGCTGGAACCAGCACTTCATCCTCGAGGAGAATGTCGACTACGGCATGATGCAGAGCCTGCTGCCGGCCACCGCCGGCTCCGACGTGCCGTCCGGCATCATCGATGACGGTGAGGAGTGGCGACGGCGTCACTGTCAGGTGTCCGTAAAGCAGTGGATCCGCTTGGTTGAGTCTCATGGGAGGGGGAGGAGGAGGGGGTCATAAAGCAGTCAGGATGTGATGATTAGGTGTGCATAGTAGCCTCGATTCTTAACCGCCAGCAGTAGTGCGACTGCAGCGTGCCTTGCCTTGTGACCAGACGTGCCGGGTCGCCAGTCCCGCGTGTGTCTGCCCCCATCTGGTCGGAAGGACCGGCGCGGCCGCGTGTGTGGTATGTCGCCTCCGGTCGCTGCGGCGTGACCCGGGGCGACGTCCAGACGGTCACCGCGTGCCCCTGCCGCCGCCAGATCGGTACTTCAGCTCGGTGGTGCACGCGGCCGACGCCCTGGAGTCGGCGGCCGGCTCGGCGGCGTCGGCGGCGGCCGGCGCGTCGCCAGCGAGCCAGCCGCCAGCGTCGCCGGCCGCCAAGTCGCAGCCCTGAGCCGGCGGCCCGGTAGGCGGCGGCTCTAGTCAGCGGCGTCCGCCGCCATTCGCGTGCCAAAGCCGCGCCGGGAAGTGCCTGCGCCGCGCCGCGCCCGTCCGGCGGCCGTCGACAGCGGCGCACCACCCGGCACGGCCTCAGAGCGGCGCGCGGCCGGCGGCGCGGCCGGCCCGGACGGCCGGCCAGGGGCGCTGGCATCGGTAGCTGCGCGGGGGACACTGTGGATCTAGTCGTTTTGTTCGGCGAGCGAACGTTTGAGTCGGGGCCGCGGTCCCATTCTGTGATACGCGTTAGTAGCGAGGTTTCGTTCGCCGCACAGAGGGCGAGGAAGGAGCGCCATCGTCCGGCCGCCGCCGCCGCCGCCTTAGCCTGCCGCTTCCATCTCTGCCGCCGCCGCCGCCACCGCCGCCACCGCCGCGCCGCGTCGCCGCCGCTGCTGCTGATGCCGCGTGTCCAGCCGCCCGAGCGGCGTGGCCACCAGGCCGCCGTAGTTAGCGATAGCGTGAGCAATGCTAGGTCTTTCAGGCACTAGGATAGCCGAAATAGTTGCCTTGTCTCATGCAATAGTAAACTGTTCGTGGTTAGCCGTGTTGTGAACTAGTGGTGCGCGTGTCGTTGGTGGTTTGACCGCAGCTAACTAAGTAATCTGCGAGGTCCTTGTTGTACTCATCCACGCACGGAAAGAGCTTGTAGCGGAGTCGACACGCGGTAGATGACGTGGCCCTGAGGGGGTGTTCGCCGGCGCCAGCTCGTGATGCGGCTGGCACAGTGCGCTGCTCTACTATGAGCTCACTACAAACTTGTCTCCTTCGCTCGTCCGAAGCAGACGTTGCTTCTTCACTTCCGTTCCTCTGGTAGTCGGCTCGTGACGGGCCGTCTCAGTGGCGACGTTGCGCCGGCAGCCCACCTCAGTCGCCTCACATTTCCCCTGAGCGGACAGTGCGCCTGCGGACTTCTAGCGTGAGGTTGTGAAGGGCCTGTCCGGGGCACGATGGGCCCGCGCCTGCGCCGTCCGCCCCGGCGTCGCGCTGGATCGCACAGCGTCGTCAGCCTCTCGTCGACCCGTTGCGCCTTGGCCGGGCGCGTGGCCGGTCTGGCCGGCGTGGGGACCGCGCCGGACCGCGACGGACGGGCCGCTCCGTCGGCGACCAGACGGAGTCGGCCCTCCGAACCGGACCAGCACTGCCGGTCACGCCCGCCGCCGCTGCTCCGCGGCACGGGTACCGGACTCGGTACCAGCGACGGTCGACAAGCAGCTCACGTCTCGGCCGCCGACGTCCCCCGATTCGGGGAGCACCGCCCGCCTTCAGCCCGTGCGGCCGACGCCGCGTGCCGCCCGTTGACTCCGCCTCCGCCGGCTCGCTCGGCCGCCCTCAGCCGGCGGGCTGCGGGCGCCTGCCGCCAACACGCGCCACCTGTACAAGTGCCGGCCGGTCTGCCATCGTGGCGCCCGCGCACCAAGCAATAACGTGACCAAAAATGTCTCCGCAGCGTGGGCGGCCCCACGCGGCCCTCTCCCGACCGGCCGCAGCCGCCAGCCTGGCTCCATTAACACGTCCCACGTTGTACATAATGCTACAGTGATTGTTGACATGGACCTAGCGTAGTCTTCCCGTGTGGTGCCGTCGTGTTATATACATACATATATATATACTTATTTATAGCCGGGTCGGCGCGGACTAACCCCGATTTTTTATACGGCCTGGTCGCGGCGCTCCCAGTGAGAGCGGCCGCCGCCCCGGATACACCAGACTTCAGACCGCTCCTCGCCCGATTAGCTGTTTTTTTATTTATCCGTGATGTGTACGTGTTTTCTTTTTTGGAGCGCGTGCGGCCGAACCGGCGAGGTGGGCGGGGCCGACGGCCGAGCCCGGCGCCGCTGGTCGGTGGCGGCCCGCCTCTGCCGCCGCCGCCGCCGCCGGAAGTGCCCGCTTCCGGGCCGCGTGAGGCCAGCGTGTCGCGCCGCTGCCCCCGGGCCCCCCTGCCGGTCGGCCTGTGTTGTTTCCGGGCATCCTGTTGAAATCGTTTTTGTTGCTGGCGTACGCCGACGCCGGAGAGACGACGCTTGGTAGCCTCGTCGCGCAGTTTTGAAGTTTTTCGGTAATGAAATTTAGCTTTAATCATCGACAGTTGTGCAAATGATGCGAAATACATACAGAAAACGCCGTGGTCATCTTTCGACTCCGTCCGGCGACCCCGGCTTCAACATATTGCATATAGCCAGGCTCCTCGCTCGGCCTTTGCAGCTCCGACCATCCCAGAGTTCGCTGGACATCCCAAGCTCCATCATGCTCCGATGCCCCTCTTCACCAGGCCCGGCAACACATGACAATCTTAGTGCCACGGGCAGCCTCAAGCGCGCACGATCGCTTTGTAGGCCGATGTGCCGGGCAGGAACGTTGCCGGCTAGTGATTGGTGGAGTGGTGGCAGTTGACGCGGGGGGCAATCAGCAGTGTCGGTCGCACGGTCCGTATGGTAGGAGTGGCACAATTGGTTCCGAAGCATGTGCTCTGTTCAGATTTTGGCCGCCTTTTTAAGCTCGTGGAGTGTGTTGAAAGAGTGGGGAATTTCGGGTGTCCTGCTACCTTGTTTTAAAACCATTCCATCTTACATCTAATTCAAGCGGATTGTGGGTCACGTTATATCCTTACTAACATAAAACATAACATGTTACATCCTCACTCACATGAGATAATTGCTAAATGGTAGAAATCGTGCACTGCTCTGGGCATTACCATTGTACTCGAGCAACCTAACAAAACGCAGTGAGAGAACAGTGCAATGCATTTCGCGAGTAATCCCTTTATAATTCTGCGCTGCGCTTCATACGTGCTGGCTGTGGCTTCGGTTCATCCACATGTTGCATGTAACCGATCTCCTCAGGCCTCAGCGTCGCGCGGCTATGGTGCCGAAGCCTCCGCCCGTGAGGAGCTTCCACAGACGTGCCAATCTTCTCAGGCCTCAGCGTCGCGCGGCTATGGTGCCGAAGCCTCCGCCCGTGAGGAGCTTCCACAGACGTGCCAATCTCCTCAGGCCTCAGCGTCGCGCGGCTATGGTGCCGAAGCCTCCGCCCGTGAGGAGCTTCCACAGACGTGCCAATCTCCTCAGGCCTCAGCGTCGCGCGGCTATGGTGCCGGAGCCCTCGCCCGTGAGGAGCTTCCACAGACGTGCCAATCTCCTCAGGCCTCAGCGTCGCGCGGATGTGGTGCCGAAGCCCTCGCCCACGAGGAGCTTCCACAGACGTGCCAATCTCCTCAGGCCTCAGCGTCGCGCGGCTATGGTGCCGGAGCCTCCGCCCGTGAGGAGCTTCCACGGACGTGCCAACATCCGAGGGCCTCAGCGTCGCGCGGCTATGGTGCCGAAGCCCCCGCCCGTGAGGAGCTTCCACGGACGTGCCAACATCCGAGGGCCTCAGCGTCGCGCGGCTATGGTGCCGAAGCCCTCGCCCGTGAGGAGGTTCCACGGAAGTGCCAACATCCGAGGGCCTCGGCGTTCTGCGGGGACCTGGAGTGTCGGAAGGTCTCGAATCCGTCTTGATGTCCCTCGACGGTCGCGTGCCCTGTCCGTTCAGTCTTCAGGCGCTTGACCTTTCTGCGCCTCCCGTATAGCCTTGGCGGGTTCAAATTTGACATGGGGGTGAAGGGTCCGACGACACCCCATAATCTTTGAACCCGTTGCAAGGTCTCGCGTGGAGGATCGCTTGTAAAACTCCTGCACCCCCACTTCCGCTGCCCGGTCCCCAGACACGAGGCCTGTGTCAGTTATGGACCACCGAGATTGTCAGTGTCACGAGACTGCAGAAGAGACCCGATACGATGGGAGGCTCCTGTTTGGTCAGAAGGTCGAGATGGCCGGGTGTCAAGGCGGCCAGAGGGCCCTGAAACGCCCAAGTGGCTCGAAGTCAATGTGGAGCCCGAAATACGCGAAAGGTCCACGGACGGGCAAGGGATCTTTGACCGTGAAATACTGGTGATGGTCAAAAGGCTGGTGGTCACCATGGTCCCTTGACAAAAGAGGCCAAAACGACGGAAAAGTTTCCAGCTGGTAACGGGGCTCTAGCACGATCAAACGTCCCGGAGGATCAAGGGGTTCTGAGGGGCGCGTGTGCGTCTGAATGCAGAAAGGTTCAAAGGCATTGCAGAGTCCGCAAATGGCCGGAGAGTCCGGAATAATCGTTTTAGGAGCCCCTGAACCAAACGACAAGAAAGCGAATAATAGCTCGGTGCGGCCAAAATAGCTCGAAATGGTCGGAGCGCTTAAGAGGCTACTGGTCATGGGCAGCTATAATGGCTACTAGATTCGAAGGGATCCAAAATGATCAGCGGTATTCTAAACAGTCGGGGGTTGAGACGGTCAAATACCGGCCAAAGACCCAGCTGGTCAAAGCATGCTAGACAGTTGAGCGATTCCAAATTGATCGAGGGGTACCAATATTTTCAAAGGGTCAGGAACAGCCAAGTAACACGTGAACGCTTAGGCGGCGAAACCCATTGAATGTTCTGAATGCGAGTCTTCGAGAAAGCCATGATTATCGAGACGGTCGAGGGATCTGGGATGTCAGAGGCGGTCAAATGGGTGGAAACTCCCGAATTTCTGAAACATCGGGACCCAAAAACAGACAACTTATGGCTAAAATAGGATAGACAGATGGAGAGGGCAGCTGAGGGGTGGCTGGGTGGCGTTACCGGGCCGGGCGTCCGCCATCGGCCAGAGTCGGCTGGAAGTGCGGCCGAGAGCAGCAGCGGACGCGTGGCCTGTCTCATCTAACAGATTGGACGAATGGGTGGTGGGTCGTGGGTTCCCTGGCGGTGATAACATAGGTGTTGTTAGGAGAGGAGCTGGGGTTTGAGTGTTCCGCTTTCGCGCTAATCCACTTATCAAGCATGCACCGAATTATGTTCAGAGGCCAGTTTTATAAAAAGGCACCGCCGCTTCTTGGCAAAAGATAACTCCGGCAAAAAACTCTCCGCCTACCGATATTTATAAACGACTCTGACACCCGATGTAAATTTCA